GAAAGATGTTTGGTCCTACATCATGGGGTTACTGTACATGTTTGTCTAATACAAATCATTTTAAGACTGTGTAGGAAGGAATGTGCTGGTAGATTGGATGTGATTAAGTTTGGATATAAGGTTAAAGATGTTATGATTAAAGTTTAGCCTGGGAGGATACAGTCCTGTGAATTTTACCATATATGACCTCACTCCCAACAAGCATGTGAGAATCAGGATGGAGATGTGTGTGTGTGTGTGTGTGTGTGTGTGTGTGTGTGTGAAGCATAAGGATGATAGATTAGGATGGAATGAATTGAGCCAACTTGTACAGCCCAATATCCAATCTGAAAACTTCTAAACATGTGGATTCACAAAGCCCACTTTCATGGCTTCATTTGAATACATTATCTGCCATTAGAGGGAAAAAGAGGACAGAAGGAGAGTGTGTGTGTGTGTGTGTGTGTGTGTGTGTATAGAGAGTGAGTAATGTGGAGCAGTGCACTGGGCCTGCTGCCGTCTCTGATAACCAGTGATGAAGGAGAGACCTGATCAATAACACCACACAAACACACGCTGTACACAGGCATACACATAGAGTAACACAAATGCTTTTCTCTGTTGTTCTCCATTTTGACATCCACCCATACACACACGCACACACACACACACACAGATAAGCACATGGGCAGGCAGACAAACGCATTTGCGCACACACACACAATGACCTCTGCAACTTCATCTTTTTTTGTGTGCTTGGGAATGGAAACATTCCTGTGAGAGAGTCCCCAGGGAGGGAAGGCAAGAGGAATGGAAAGAGAGGAATGGAAGTACAGGAGTCTGAGCTGGACTTTGCTCAGACACCCTAGCAGAGCGACAGGATTTACAGCACACATTTACATCTTTACCCCATCTCACACCCCACCCACTCCCTCCCTCCTCCATTCAGCATCAATGCATCTCATCTTCTTCTTACTCTTGTATCATTTCATATCATTATATTCTTTTCTTTCTTATTTTTCATGTCAGCACCAATCTGAAAATAGATCTGGTCTGGTCCGAAAACTACTGGCATGCTAACACTGCAAAATACACACAAAGAGCCATTGAGAATGAGCAGCAAAGCACTGAGGTCTTTCTGTGTTTTCTCTGCCATGCTAAAGCAGTAATCGTAATTCTTACTGATTAAATGCCTGCATGAGCTTGTGGTGTGTGGTTGTTTTTGTAAGTGCATGTGGGGAGCTGCGTGCATGCATTTTACGAGTGTCTTTTGTCAGTGAATGGATAGAGTGAAAGGTGTAGCAACTCTTTTTCTGTTTAGAAAGAAATCTACTACAGCTGCTACCGGAACACAAAGAGCATGACTGAATGGTTGGAGGAAAAAGAGGAGAGAAAGAGATAAAGGATGAAGCAAGGGGAGTGGGCAATGAAAGGAGGAAAGAATGGTGACATTTCAGCAGCAATACAATTCAGAAAACAGAAAAACTACACAGTGTTGTCTAAACACAAGCAACTGCGAAAGCTTTGCCTACATAAATATGTCAAAAACTGGCAACATTATGATTTCACAAACTGTGGACTCATTCAGTGACATTTGGACATTCAGTACAGTGGACAATTTTCTATATTAACAAAACACAGTGAGGTTCAATACCAAGCCCTATACCCACACATAGTCAGAAATGTAACTAGACATCATGGCCATGTGGACTGCAACAACCATGACCGGCTGCATTGCATTTCCATGTTTATGTCTCAGTGGACAAGCATGGAAAATCCCCCCTTGTTCTGCCTCAGTTCAATGGTCATATCAACATCTCCAACATGTTCTCCCCTATCTGCATTGCAGTAATTTAAGAAAAAGTAACCGCTGTTCAACATCTAATAGTTGTTATTCCAACATGACCCACTCAGTTTCAGTCGCCAACATTTGTAAGTGGCAAAGAAAATCAACACAGTGGCATAGAAACCCTGCCGCTAACTAATGTTTTGGTGGTGTCACACCAGCGCACAAGTATACAGTAAATGCTCACAATGGCATAGGCCACTTGCATAGCCTACGGTGTATGTCCTACGTAGATTCAATGCAGAACCTTAAATCAAGCTTCATCATCCAGAAAGTGTCAGCATTCATTTCTTATTTTTGAATAATTACATTACTATTGTAAGATTTCATATTACATTTATACTACTTTGGTAAAATTCTACATTAACAGTAACACCAGTAAAGATCAAGTGAACTGACATACAATGTGAGAAGGTGACATTAAGACCCACAGACACTGGTACAGCTGCTCAGTAACTGGTCCTTCATCAGTGCAGTCAACTGTATAGTGTCTAACAAGGACACATCTTACATCAGCAGGTTCCCCTAGCTTTCTCTCTCTCCCAGAGAGCCATGGGCTTCTATCGACCCATTATAAATTCTCACATTGTATGAGACATCACAGATATTAACTATTAATAACAAAACACACTAAAGCAACTGTAAGCAGAAATAAGGTACATGCATAATGTATGTAAACCACTAAACATTTCAGCTAAACAAACACCCTGAGAAAGGTTAAGTATCGTATGTTAATGCATACTCCCCATAAGCATTCAGTGAAAGAACTGATGTCATTTGGAGTTTCCATAGATGCACCAGAAGCCAAGTACAACACAGCAGACTGGGAGAAATTTTTTCAGAACCTGGTAATCACAGCTTTAATTACATATTCTGCTCCCTCTCTTTTCCTCCCCTCTCGTTCTCACTCCTCCTTCATTCCTTCCCCAACTTTAAATCCATCTCTTCTTGGCGTCAGTTTATGGCCAGGCATTTGTCACTTTGCCATCCTACTTATGGCTTCCTCTTTCCTTCTCTGTGTGAAGCAATGGAAATAGGATTTATCTGCTCAGTGTTTCGTTCCACTTTGGTTTTACTTGCTCACCCCCACCTTTCTCTCTCTCTCTCTCTCTCGTCCTTGGTCACCTCCTCCTCTAACTCATCACTAATTCAGGCATTTCTAAACAAGTTAGATTGCATACAACATATTCATGTGCATTCACTTGCATGCAACTGTTTGCAAAACTGCAGGGACGAGTGTACAATACAGCATATGCAAAGAGCAAGTGTAGGAATATGCATATCTCCTAGGTATAAAACTCATTTCAGTTGTTAACATGCTGCAGAGCTTGATCACAGCCTTACAACACTCAGACATGCAGTGTGGGGGACTGAGATCATGGCTAAAACTGCATACAGTGCAGAGTACTTCCCCACTTGAGTACATGGTTTATTAAGCATACTTTATAATGATATCTATTCTACAGTATGTACTGTACACAGATTAGGGATGATATTAAACACAATATCCATGTTCACTTTACAACACAAGTGTCAAAAGAGTGTTTTTTAAAGCAACAAACATCTGATGTTATAACCACAGTGTGAACAGACATTAAATTCACATGGATGCTGATCTTCTGTCTGATCTGGATAAGATTCACAAGCAGTCCTGCAAAAAACAAAAACAAAAGCTGCATATGTATCTGATCAATGAAGTGGGATTTCTGCACTTCACTCTACAGTTGACAAAGACTCAAGCTTCCAGTGGTGAGATTTGCATGTTCAAAATGTGTATTCATATTTGGGCAGATGCCTTCATTCAAAGAAAACTAAAGCAGACAAACTGCTGGGGTTTTCCTGCACATGTTTGGATTCTGTCTTCAAGGGCAAACCAGTGAAAAGAAAACACTTTCAGAAGACACAAATATTACATGTGCGTTTTCTCCCTGGCTAATAAATAAACTCATATGTGACAACAGACAGTGACCAAAGAGCATTTCCCCATCAATACTTGACTGAATCTGAAGTACAGCCTGAGGCTGGCAGCATAGTGTGTGTGTGTGTGTGTGTGTGTGTGTGTGTGGGTGTGTGTGTGGGCCGGTCATGAAAAGTTCACTCCTACTGTATACTGGAAGCAGAGAAGGTGGGAAGAGAGTGTGTAATGGAAGATTTGTGGAAGAGATTCAAAATGACACACACACACACACACACACACACACACAGGTCTTTAATGTCTTAACTATAAATGTGTTCCATACCACAAATGACTTAACACATTTCCAACACTAGAGAAGATCCGACTGACCAAACAGCAGGGGATGTAATGCGCACAAAGACACACACACGCAACGTTTCTGTGTCTAAACAGCTGGGCATGGCTAGTGTCTGTCTGTCCCTGTTTGTTCTCTGTGTGACATACAACAGGCAGAAGGGCAAGTGTAGGCCAGTCTCTACACTGCCTGGCGTCTGGCTACCACATGCTGTCCAGCTTGTAAGTATACAGTATCTAAAACAATTATAATCACAGAAAATAAGAGAAAGAGACTGAGCTATGAGCTTTTAATATGGGATGCTGATTGGATGTATAATAAGTGCTGAAAACATGGACATAACACCATCTACATGAGGTGGGATACGCTCTTTTTCGTTTTCAGAAGGCCTGTTATGCTGCCGTGTTTGAGGATATAAACATGCAGTAAAAACTACAATACATTTGTACTGCCTATTGAACACCAAAGACTCCTTTAGAACTATTAATAACATATTATTTTCCATTTCCATTTTCCATTGCTGGATACTGTCAGCAGCTTTCCAGAAGACTCTCCAACCTCAGCCATTTATTCTTCCTCCCCTTCATTCACTTTTTTTTAAATACCATGGTGATTGGATTATCTTTTGTTGATGCAGTTGTTTGTATTGATTGTCATTTACTCCCACTTGCTTGCAGAGTGGTGCCAACAATTCAAACAGCTTCAGGCTTGTTTTTGGATCCAATTAAAGACAAATTCTCAGCCAGAACACAAAACCATCTACACATCAGAGACTCCCACAGACCACCTACATTGATCCATGGCTCAGCTGACGCATGAATATTTGATAAAAAAAAAACAACATACAATGTCAGAGGGTGAAATATAAAAAAATATCAGTTTTAATCTCACAGGCATTTGTTTAGTTTTTATCATGAGCCCCTGGTAATATCCGACTCTGCCCATGTGCAGATAATAGAGGCACTACAGTATGTTAGCACTTAGGGCAGGTTTGATGCTAACAGCTGAACTCCTTGTATACAGATGTGTCCTTTTCAAGACAGGCCTCTTCTGAAACCTGCAGTATGTCAAAGGCCAGAAAAGTTGTTCCATTTGAAATAGGTTTTCTTTTACTCAAATTGGCTCAATATCACACAGTTGGTTGCAATTTTATTTTGGATTTGGCAATAAGACTATTTTGGCTTCTTTGTGATCAGTCTATTTGGGGGAGAGATGCAGATGCATTCTTTCAAAGACTACACTTTCACAGCCCTTGTCCTTTGAAGCAGGTGGCTCCTGAAATTAGATGTGATAATAAGACGCTTGCATTATCTTTAGAGTATGTGGTTGCTCAGCTTAAACGGTTCCAAAATAAATCTCACTTTATGGAGAGAACATTAAAAACCACTTTCAGCATTTCATTCATGTTAATTGTGTCATAAACAAACTAGAGATCAATGTGCATTGCTCCATAGCACTACTAGTGGTCACAAACTCTACAGCCTACCTTTAAGTGTTAGCATGAGATCTAACAAAATCCCATTAATTCATTAGGTGTCCATGTGTCAGCTGGCAAATGGGGACAGTCTCCTGCAAATATAGTAGTAAAAAAGACAAATACAGAAAAGGTCATTGGTGTGAGCCTGCCCTCCATGGAGGACCTGTACACCTCACGGGTCAAAAGGAGGGCGGAGAGGATCACTGCTGACCCCTCACACCCGGGACACAATCTGTTTGAACTCCTCCTCTCTGGACGGCGTTACAGGTCACTGTGCACCAAGACAACCAGGCACAGGGACAGTTTCTTACCCCGAGCCATCACTTAACCCACGTCAGTATGACTGGACAATAACCCTCAGTGCAATACCTATAAATATACCTCGTACAGATTATACAGATCCGTACAGGTCTCTGTTTTTTAAGTACTCTAGTTTTATCTTGTTCCCTAATGAACATTCCTTTGTCTGTTTGCACTGTTTATACTGTTTATTTTGTTATACTATACAGCCTTATATTGGTATATTGTTTGCTTGCCCTTTGCTACTGCCTTACATAAGTATATGTACATGCATATTGAGAGCCGCTGTACCAGAGTCAAATTCCTCCTGTCCAACACACCCGGCCAATAAAGCTGATTCTGATTCTGAAATGATGCATTCAGTCAAATAACCAAATATATTCAATACTACCACAGTGTAATACTCTTCACTGAGAATTACTTTAAGAGCTAGAGTGAGACAAAGTTCATAGAAATCACATGAAAGGAGCTGAGACTGATGAAAAATTCAAAGTATCCCTGAGATAAAGTTAAACTGAGGGTGAGAATTTGACTGAGGATGATATACTAGAAAGAGAGAGAGAGAGGAGGCGGAAGGCACGCCTAAGGCCTGTCTGTCTCTCTACCGCTTTCTCATCCTCTGCAGCATCATGGGAGTCAGGATGCTACAGTAGAAGGAAGATCAGCTAATAAGCCTACATCTCCTGCTGGCCTGGCCCTGGGAAACGACACACTATCCTCACAAGTGACAGAAATGTGTGTGAGAAACATGAAACAGATGTGAGGGCATCTCTCACTGTTTCTATGTGAAGTCATAGATCTTTACACAAGGATTTCAGGCCCCCCCATTCCCTGATATCTTGCCGGGGAAATGCTTGTCACCAAGGAGAAAGGCAGCATGGCCACCAGAGCATTGTGGGATAGCTCAGTCCTTTAACATGCAGACAACCTGCCACTGCTGATAGATGGAAGAGTAGATTTATTTGCCTCTCTACTCTGAAATCAGTCTTCTCATTTAGTCACCTGCCTCTTGTCTGTTTCACTTTTTCCCGTCTGTGCTGGGCTTGATATTGGTATGAATATATCAGTATGACATAAAATTATTGATACTGGCTTTGAATTAAATACTTGACATTACTGCCTAGCTAACATGTTAAGCAGGTTTATTTGTCACATTTCATTTACTCATCTTTAATGTACAATTCTGCTCTAAAGGCAGTCAATTATCCTTGACTTTCTCTTCATTAGTATATAGTAGGGTAGTGGGGTTTTCTGCTTTAAGAGCTGCTAATATTAAAAGAATTTCATTAGCCTGCATTTCCATGGAGAGATTTAGTAAATACTCTATTGCCACTTTGCAGTTTTTCCAGGAAGTAAAAACAATCCTGGGACGGCCTTTGATTTTGAATAAAGGTTCGACATATTGAATGTCAGCAGCTTCTCCTCCATTGTCTTCTCGTCAGCCCATCTATCTATTATTAGTAACCTCACTATAACCTTGCAAAAGAACATAAACCTCATTCCTCCTAATCAGGTGAGCTGCCCCAGCTAAGCTTCCAGCATCAATTTTCATTAAAGATGTGCCATTAGCTTTAACAAACGTACACATACCTCGATGCTCCTTTCCATGCAGGAACAACAACAGATCGAAGACAACATGATGAACACACATACTGTACGGTGCATGAATAGATGAACGCTGTGGAAACAATAAGATGGTGTCTGTGGTTATATTTCCATTGAAAAATCATATGAGTGAACATCATGCAACAGCTGAAAACATTTTAGTCTAGAATGAAAACATTTTAGGATAAAGAAAATAAGGAGACATGTTTTTAATAGTTTGTTTGTCAAGGAACAATTTACCCATTAGTGAATTAGGATTTACTCTTAAAAGAGAATCACTATTCTCTAGAGACACAGTCTACTTGTATTTTTAGTCTTTAGAGGAACAGCATCTATACATAGCTCATAAAATAAACAATGCTCTCTATGGTATGTAGTCTCTTGAGAGATTTTACTACTAATTAGCCTTAAAAAAAATCTTAGGTTCTCTCTTGGTGTTTTTCTTTATCATTCAAGGC